AAAGAACACTAAACACATCCAGTAATAGATTAAGAAAAAATAAAAGCTCTGGAAATGAAGAAACAGGAGCTCAGTTAAGATGTGTGATCTTAGACAAGTCCATGGGTATCACCACCACTCAGTTCTTCCCAATGAAATGGGGCTAAATTGTCCTGGATATTTGGCAAAGTTTGTACTTTATCAAATAAGATAGAGTAAACAAAGGGTGTCATTCTGAGAATCAGAATTTTACCAAATCGCATTCTTTTTTTTTTCAAAAGTCTCCAAGAAATTGGGCCATGTGCCCCATGGAGTTGACTGGGACACTATAGTGATGAGGGTCCTTTTCTTCACAAGTGACAGAATGCTCAGTGTCTGATTCTAAGTAACTGGAACAATTGAGAAGTGTTGTAAGAATATGGGAGGGGAAGGAAGGGAAGGAAGATGCATATAAACCTCACCCTCTCTGAGGAATGCATGGGGAATAGAGTGGGGGAAAGTAGGGGGATCAGGGGGAGGGGAGGGAAAGGAAACTGGGATTTTTATGTAAAATATAAAGAGATTATTATAAATAAAATAAAAATAAGGCTCAGAGGATGAAAAGAAAGTTTCATTTTGGGCTTAGAAACCACAAGTAGAAAAGCAAGATGATAATGAAGAGTTGGAAGCAGTGATCACTTGTTTGATTTTCCATTCTGTTTGATTTCCTTGAGTGAGTCATTGCACTCACCTCACAATCCCTCAGTGGGGAAGTCTAAAAGGCAGACATCTTGACTTACATCAAGATATGAGCAGGGAGATGAGGGACTTTAGCTTGTTTTGCAAAGAATGCAAAAGGGGAGATGAATAAACAGGGCAGTAGTCCATTACAATCTCAAAGATAGGTGTGTACTTGCTTAACCAGTTTTATTGAACAACTTGATAATCCGTTGTGAAAATGGTAGTGAATGAACCTAGAAAAGTCAACCTGGAGGAAGATGCAAGGGATCCCCCATTCTACCTTGTTCTCGCTGTTGGAATATACTCCAGCCAGATTGCTTCAGCTTGAATTGCCTTGGTGGCCTTGACAGTAGCCAGCTTGCTATATCTGGGACACAGGTCAGCCAAGAGTAACGCAACCTAAGAAGTTATTGCACCCTGACACTTGGCCCAACTCATTTGGATTTCAAAGGTACGGATCATGGACACACCTGAACAAGATAGGGAACTGTGTGTCGTTATATGGCTGTAGTAATGTTTTATGTCAATAGCCACTTCCTCCTCTCTGAGTTTCTTTCCCTTTCCCCAAGACTCATGTCCTGATAGGCAAAAACTACTCAAATTCATGAATGAGTGAAGAATGAATACATGAGACCTTGACTTTTGAAGACCGTTTTATGAATGAGGTGTCCTAATTTGCCTTCTGTTGTTGTAGTGAAAACATGACCAAAAGCAGCTTCTGTAGGAAAGAATTTATTTCATCTTATAGCTTATCCATCATAAAGGCAAGGAAAGGCAGGAACTGAAGCAGAGGCCATGGAAGAATGCTGCTTACTGGCTTACTCCTCCTGGCTTGCTAACTTGACTTACTTATACCAGGATTTGGTGGGTTTCACAGAAGAGATAGTTAAAAAGCAAAAATAAAAAAACAATGATAAATTAAAATCCGCCAAAGACTATTTTCTGGGCCGTTTTCAATGCCTAAAGTTCTACCCTTACCCTTTGGGGGTACTCTATTTTCAAGCACAAATGTGCTTAGCAAAAGCAGCATTGTAGTGCATGTTACTTATAGTGATTTCTAGGTCCTCCACAATATAGTAGAGAATGAATCCTTCCATTATATCTATTACATAGGGAAAACAAAAAAAGGAAATAAGGCTAAGAACTCAGACAGTAATCTTTCCTCCATGCATCCACATAAGACTGTGATTTGAAGAGTGACATTTCTGGAGTCAGTGGTTCTAAGGACAAAGGCACCTTGCTTCCCTGCTTGCTGAAGGGAAGGAGCCAGGGAAGGCATGGCTTCTCCTTTAGTCTTAGTTCCTTTGGCTGTAAAATAAGGGTAGCAAATGAAACCTGCCTGACAGAATTAATCACTAAAGAAGTAGCATTATTAAATACTTGATTGTTGGCATATAGTAATTATTGACTAAATATACGGCAGAAATCATCACAATAGGAGAATGGGAGGAATGAGTAATGATGGTCATGACACTGGTGTTGACAGCAGTTGGGTTTGGATTCCAATGATGTGACCTGTTATCCTCACTGTTCCCTACCAACCACGAAACGATGCTCAGTTTAGTCTCATCTGTGCACTTAACCAAGCCTCCTAAAGTTACTGTGGGAACTTAGGAGCATGTACCTAACCCAGAGAAAGTATGCAAGAGAGGCTGATCTGCCCAAAAGCCCTGTAGAGACATTTCTCTGTCTTATCTCTTATCTCTCCCTGTGCTTTGGCTATGGCCAGCAGGACTCTTAGCAAAAAGTAGCAGCTTAGGGAAAAGACCAATTCACAATTAACAAGTTGGTTAGATGAACTTTACCCATGAACTAGGATAATCTAGGGGCTGGGGGAGGTGAGCCCTACCCCAGCTGGAAAGAGAATCAAAGTTGCTGAGCTTGGTTAATATTGAATAACCTAGTGATCATATCCATCCATCCACAGTCACAGACGCTTCCCTGGAGAAAGCACAGCTTGTTCTTACAAGTAAAAAGAAATACATGGTCATCTTTAGAGAAAACGGTGCTAGGTAATTTGAGATCTAGCTCACTGGTTAAAAGAGCATATTGTGCTCTTGCGAAAGACCCAAGTTTTGTTCCCATGGCCACAGCAGAAGGCTCACAACTGACTGTCCAAAGGGGAACGACACCCTTTGTGGTCTGTAAGGATGCCTGCACTCACACGTACATACCACAGACACATACTTTTAAAATAACACTAAATACTTGAAAAGGCAGTATTCTTGTGTCTCCTGCAGTCCATCTTGGAGAATACAGGAAAGAACCAAGGAGACTGGTAGCTAGAGAGAGTGAGGTCAGATGTGCTAAAGGAGATGAAGATACAGGAGCCATGGGCAATACCTGGAAAGAAAAAAGAACGAGGAACCAGAGAAAGGATGCAGCAGAAGGTTCACCATGAACTAATACAGGGGCAAGAGACTCAAACTTCACCATGGCCATGATTGGAGCTCCAGCGCATAATGTTCAGTAGGCAACAGGGACTCCTCTGGGAAACCCAGCAACAAGCCCAGTGGTCTGGGTTGGCACCAAAGCGTATGGCTTAATCAGGAGCGCAAAAGCAGCTGACAAATTACAGCATGGCTTGTCATCATCCCAGGACTCAACATTTGTCCCTGGAAGAATCAATACTTGGAGGGACAAGAGCCATATTTTTAGACACTCATATGGGTAATTTATTTCAAGTGAGAAGACGGTTTATTAATATTGGCACCCCTGTGGGTGCAATGGACAGTAGATTTACACAAAGACAGAAAATGCTATCATTTCTTTGAAACAAATCACCTCCTTTGAACAGCTGTAGTTCGCGACTCTGGGTGATGAACTGACTCGCTCGGAAGTCTACCCAGGAACTACTCCCACCACTGCCTTCAGCCCTGCTGCCGTCCTTCCATTTGCATAGAGTGATACATATTACAGAATTCTCCCGTATAGATTCTGTCTTCTAGGGCACCAATGAGATAGGTAGTATGGGTGACATTAGCTCCATTTGACAGATGAAGAAACTGAGGCTTGGGAGTTAAACACAGTGGTGACTATAGTTGGAAAACAATGTCCTCTCCTCCTCCTCTCCAACTACACTTTACTACTGTTATATTATAGCTATTGCAGCTGAAGCAAGTTTTAAAAAGGAAAGCTTTTATAAAAGCAAAACAAACGGAAATGATATAAATATTGAATGAAAGGAAACAGGGTATATCTTTGCAACTGACCTTTTCAGGTGTGCCTAAAAATACTCAAATTGACATTCAGAAATGTTCAAGGCAGGCTGGGAACAAGAGTGGAATACGTAACATGCTTACTGCAAGGGCGTGAGGATCTGGCTCTGGCTCCCAGCACCTGTGTGAAAAGTTGGGCATAGCAGTGTCTACCTGTAATCTCAATGTCGGGGACAGTGAGTTAGGAAGAGACACAGTACCTACCAGCGGGGCAATCTAGTTTAATCAGTGATTCAGTAAGAAACCCTGTCTCAAAAGACAATCAATAAAGCATAGAACATTGAGGAAAGATTAAAATATTGACCTCTGATATACACACACGTGCATACATGTACGTACACTGTTTGAAAGAATATTCCAGATACATGACCTCTAACTCATTTTTAAAATGCAAAAATGCATATGAATATGCATACATGAATATGTTTGTGACTGTTTCTAAACTTTGGAAATGTTGGCTGTGCTGCCTACTTGGTGTACATATTGCCTTTTTTATTGCTGCTGCTATTAGTGCTGTATAAACATGGTATCTTGCTATGTAACCAATCTGGCACTGAACTTGTGACTCTCCTGTCTTGGTGTTCTGAATGCTGAAGTTACCATCTTCAACATGAAAACCCTGCCTTTCCCCTCTCATATTTCTGTGCCACCTAGTATGATGGCCACAATATACTATTCTTTTTGCAGTGGGTAATGGTTAACGAAGAAACTCATAACTGGTCAAAATAGCAAATACAGTTACTGAGTATTTAGCTATGGGTGGGTCATCTATACCAGCTTCCTAGCATCCAAGGCTCAAGGAACTTTGTGAAAGAGGGGGGCAGCTAGAATGTGTGAGCCTGTGGGTGGGGGGAGCTGTAAAATGATGGCTTCTGCTGCATCCCCTTCCCTCAATCTACACCCAACTCTGTTCCCATTGACTTTCATCTCCTTAATGAAGACAACTTTAATCTAACATGCTGCGAGCATCACAGTGTAGCAAAGCACAGTGACCTCATCTGTAATGCCCATCGCAGCAATTATGACCCTATGAAGACCAGATCCCTTTGACGCAACTGCTTCACAGGGTCCTCTTTTTTGCAGGAGGTGCAGTTCCAACCGGAGTACTTCCATAGTACCATCATATGTGAGAGGCCCAACAACCACCTCAGCAAGTTTAAGGGTTATATGTAAGTACCTAAGGCCCCTGGGCTACTGGTAAACACCTCCTCTGCTGCTGGAAAATATTTCCTTGAATTGGCCAGACAGTTAAGATACTCCAGATACTGAGGTTAAAGACTGTGGAGCTTTAAAGACCTGGATTTGAGGTGACCTGTGTGAGCTGGATTGGTTTATTTACCTGTCAGTTTCTTGGATGCCATCTTTGCAGAGTAAAATTTGTGATACCTATGCCACAGAACTTCTCTTCCCTAAGGACCAACTTCTCAATCATATGCAAAGCTCAGATTAGCAAAACTGGGCAAAAATAAATTACCAGTTAATCACAGATGCTTCTGTTAGAATTATTGTTAATCTTCAACTTTGGTTCAGTCTCAGAATTTTACTATAATTCTGCCACACATCAGACAGCCGATCCGTTTGCAAAGTAAGAGTCACAAATATGGATGTAAATGTCCATTGCTACGGCCGTTCTCAGAGCACTTTTGCAGAATAGCACCTTACGTAGTCTTCACAGCCACCCAGAAAAGTGGGGATCATGCTCTCCATGTTTTGGATGTGGAATCTTAGGAATTTACCCAAAGTTTCACAGCAGATACCAAACACCCCAAACTTGATGTGGTTTCCATTGCCCTGCTTCACGGAGTTCAGCTGTGTTGGACCCAATCCTTACCAACAGAGCTCCAGGCTACGGGGATGCTTCTTCCTCAGACAAATTCTCAGCCTATGTGTGATTGTATGAGGAGGAATATAAGAATAAAATCAGGGAACCAGAAGAATACAGAAGATGCATGCAATAGCCTTGAAACTATTTACTTTTCAAACACACAGTAAGGGTGGATAAGAGTAGGTGGAGAAGGATGTGAGCTGGGGAAGAGTTCTTTGTGTGCCTCTGTCAAAGAAGAAGCTGTTCATTGTCTCTAGCAAACATAGTTTTCCTCATACCCGAGTTGGTGGATTTGGTTCCTCCAAGTCATCTGTGTCTTGTATCATTCTCCATAGTCTCCTAGCAGTCAGCTTCATGGCCTGGTTTTCCCCCAAAGGTTTGCTCCATCAAATTCATGCTTGCTACCAGCTAGTCTGTCTCACTGATAAACTGGACTCAAACCTGCCTACGTCACACAGACTTCAAACAGCACTGGCCCCATCTCTATTTATCTTAATACCCCTTCTTTCTGGCCACTGCTCCTAGAGACTTGTCCTCCCTGACTTCCTGGCCTCAAGGATAAGCCTTGGAAGTCCAACTGGCCAGTCCATGGTCAACACAAAGATGATAGACAATCCTACCATCTGGGCCTGTGTCAGACAAAGAGAAGACTTTTGGACCCAGCATCCACAAACCATTATCTAATAATTCTTTGTTTCCCCGAAGCCTCTACGTGTCTCCTTAACAGAGGACTCTTCTGTGACTACACGGGTTTGACAGGACAAACTGCTTTTTACATTCTACTTGAAGATAATGGACTTGAGATTTTAATATGCAACCATTTGGGCTTGTGGAGTAGTTTAAGTCGATTCATTGCCTAGCATTACATGGTCCTGAGTTAAAATCCCATAACCATAAAAACTGGGGAAAATAACATGTACATGCAACTCTAGCACTTAGATGGTGGAGGCAGAAAGATCAGAAGCACAAGGTCATATGTAGCTACATAACAAGTTTGAGGCCAGCCTTGGCTACATAAGACCTTGTCTCAATGAATAGTTAATTAACTAAACAAATGAATCTCTGTAGGCAATATCCCTCTCGTTAATCAGGAGTCTTTTGGCAATGTCTGGTGGCAGTAGCGGTTGAAACAGCTGGGAATTTGAGCCACTGACCTTTTGTAGACAGAGTCCAGGGTGCCACTCAACATCCTACAATGTACAAGAAAACCCCACAACAAAGGACTGTCCTGCCCAAATGTTAATGCCAAGACATAAATGCTTCATGTTGACCATAGACATCTCTGTTCACAAAGAGTGCTCGATGGAACAGCATCCATGAGACAATGAAGCCTTTTCCCCACCTATCCAGAAATAGGCACTGTAAGAGAAGTTGGCTCTCTCTTGTGCTATTACTTCAGACTGTCATAAACTACAAGCCGCCAGCAGTCTGTCACCTGTGATCCAGAATCCTAAAATGTCTTGTATACTAGCTTTGTGGCCTTGAAAAAAAATATATCAGCCTCTCTAAGCTTTAACTTTTACTCAATGACCCTGCTAACCTTCCAGAGCCATGAAGAATCAAATATACTCACGTAAGTGAGCCTGGTTTATAGGCAGAATAAGGAAATGGATACTGAGGTTGGCACAGTGGCCCATGCCTATCGTTTTAGTACTTGTGAGTTTAAGGAAGGATGATCAGTTCAAGGACAGTTTGAACTACATAATAAGACTCTGTATTTAAAAAAATAAAACACCTTTATCAATTATACATCCTACAAAGGATCAGGGCATTGCTGATTCTAGAAGTTTCTTCTTGCAGTACATGGTAATTAACACAGATACCCACAACTAGACAATGTGCAGAGAGAGACTTTAGAGCACTCAGCCTTGAATGAGATGGCTTTATCAAACCTTCCCCTCAAGGCTCAGGGATCTATGTGGAAGAAAAGTCAGAAAGATTTTAAGACTTTTATCCCAGGGGTAGGGACAAATCCATGGGAAAATCATCTTCCAGATACAGTGAAACTGATACACACATAGATTCACAGAAAGGATGACAGCAGGCACAAGACCTACAAAGACCCAGAATGGAGAAGTGGACACAAGTCCCACCCACAAACAGGAAGCTGTTTGTAATTGATACCCACTAGGAGGGGTTAAAATCAGTTTTCTTCAGTAGAATGTCACTAAGTGTATCAACTACACTTCAGAGCAGGCCCCATGCTCAAAAGTAGTTGGTCAAGACAAAATGAATTCCATGCTTCTTGGTTTGGTTTGGTTTGGATTGATTTGGTTTGGTTTGAAGTTGTTGTTGTTTGGGGGTTAATTTTTGTTTTGGTTTTGGACTTGTTTTATTTTTATCTTTGGGATTTGTTTGTTTTGATTTGGGGACCTTTTTCTTTTCTTTGGAAAAGAGAGAAAAACATGAAGTTGGATTGGGGAGGAGGAGAGAAGTTTGGGAAGCAGTTTGGGAAGGGGAAAAACTTAGTCAAAGTGTATTGTATGAAAAAAATTATACCAATAAATAAAAAAAGAGAATCATTTGGTAAATCAATAGGCATGTTGAGTACACGCATAGCGTGAAAGGGCAAGTTATTTCAGCAAAGACATATTCTCCCACTTACTAGATCTTTGAATTTGTCACCACTGTCCCTCCTATAAAATGGATATGATAGCATTGCCTTTAGCTTAATTAACACAAAGAAAAAGTCACAGCTCTACATAGGAAAATGAAGTATTGATGAACCACAGGGAAAAGAAATTCAGTGTTAAGATTGCTACTTTCCTATTCTCACAATGGCTTTAAAATATTACAGTTAAAGCTGCTCGCAATCCCAGGGCAGAAGAACCAGCTAAGAATGCCACGTTTCTAGCATGGAATGGAAAGCTGACATCCCTGCTGAGGTTCGAGGAACAAAGACATATCTGCAGTTAGACAAAGGGCCACCGTGCAAGGGAGGGAAAGGACGCGGAGAGAGAATCGAGAGTGAGATAGCTCGGATGTGAGAAGGCTGTAGCCCACCCCTGCTTACCTTATTGTACTTCCTACGTCTGCCTTGTGATGTAAAAAGCAGGAAGATCTGCCGTCTTCTATGGGCCAGAATGCTCAACTGCTGTGGCTCTGGTCCCCAGCAGCTATGTGAGGGAGGAAGGGATGTGAACCCCATCCAAAGGAAACACAGCACCAGACCTTGAAGGTCCAAAAGCCCATTCCCCCACACTTTATCCTGCAACCGATTTGAGGGTGAGACTTAAAATCTAGGATTTTTTTCAGCACAGTTCTGCCTTTAGTGTGGGTAAATGAGAAATTCCTCAGAGGAACAGTTCCATTCTGATGGTCCAGCCTCACCCAGGCTTCCCAGAAGCAATGATGAGATTCACCTGGACATAGAGATAGGATTCCCCAAAAGCAGCACTAACCCTTGAAATGGGGAAAAGGAGAAAATCGATTGCTTTTACTCAGGACTTCTGGTTCTGTTATACTAGCCAGAAACCACACAGAGAGCAGCCAAATACCGCCTGACTTTCACTCCTTTTTCCCAGGGAGCATCCTGACCAGACCAGGACTGGCTTCGGCAGCGAGAGTCTTCTACTCCGAGGCTGCACCATTCGAAACACCGAGGTGGCCGCTGGCATTGTCATCTATGCAGGTCATTGTCTCTGTGCAGTTTCTTTTTGCTTTCAACCTGCCTCAATACTTCCCTCTCCAATCTGTCCACTAAATTCATCTTCAGACAGTGGAAACTCACAGGAGCTCCCAGGGGCAAGCCACGCAACTCCCCATTTCTCAGCTCAAGCACACAGAGGCTGGGAACCACAGGCACTCACTCAGTCCACAGGGAACATAATGAGATGCTGAGTCATTACCATGCATCCCACCACATAGGGAGAGGGGCTCAGTTCATCACCTCAATGGTGGCTTGGGGACAGAAAGAAGTATGAGGAGGTTGTCAGAACAACCCCACTGAGGAATAACTTCTCGCCCATCTCAGTTTTCCTACTTTACCATGGAAAGAATATGAGTCTACTGTGTAGATGCCTGAGAATAAAATGGCCTATCCCAGACAAACCACCTAACACTCTATCTAGTGAAAGAATGGCTGAATAAATTTGTTACTGTTTTTTTTTCAGTTATGTTTCCTTTATCCACTATATGTCTCTAGATATGGAGATGTTTTTATAATTATACTACAATACTGAGGCAGGATAACTTTCAAGAAAAGAGGTTTAATTTAGTGCCCCGTGTAGTGAGTTGTAAGGACTTGGCACAGCGATTGGCTCAGCTCTGATTAGGTCCATCTGGGCTATGTCATATCATTATGGCATCCCCTCGTCACACGCAGAGATACTAGTCTTCCAGAAGAATAAGCCTACCGGTATGGTGGTAGGTGCTTCCCATGGCAAACATTTATTGAGCCCTACAAACTGAGGCCAAATGTGGGCAGAGCTGAGTCCCAACTCTAGCACCCCTGTCCTCACTGCTTTGCCTCTGACCCTACTTCCTGCCTAAAGAATGGAAGAGTCTCAGAGGGTGATGAATGCAGCAACCTGTAACGGTCACACTGTCAGAGCCCCTCACAACTGCAGCAGCGCGAACCTAATTTAGTAACTGAAGCTCATTTGCTTCCACCGCTGTTGCTGTTTGAAATCCTCAAGGAGGCTAACTCAGTAGCGTTGAAGCCTTTCGCTTCGGGAGCTGTTGTACTGGTTTGTTTGTTTTTTTTTTAAGTTTACACAGAAGAATAAAACTATGAGTGGCATTTTTCACTTGGACTGCTGAGGAGTAAACACAGTCATTAAAATCCAGCAAGTCCTAAGAAGAGACAGTCTGAGGGCCAAGTGAGTCTGAGCACCTCCCTTGAAGTTCCCTGGGTTGGTGGAAGGAAGGCTCCTGACTCCCACTGTGATTCCAATATTAACTTATTCTTTCACATCGGACAAGTTCCTTCTACCCTGCTCCTCAGTTTCCCCAGGGAGTAAAGAAGCAACTAGGAGAACTGATAGCCTTCCAACTTTGGCACTTTTTTCTTTGAACAAGATTTCATGTGGACATGTAGCTGGGGGATACAGGGGTGACAGATTTTGGCTCTACTGCTCTTCCTCATGAGATGTCAGCACCTTAGACACAAAAAAGCAACCACAGGAGCTGTGGGCACCGAGCTCAAGCCTTCTGCAGGACCTTTGCATATGCATTTCCTTCCATCTAAAGTCCCAATTTTCCCTCAAAGGTCATGAGACAAAAGCCATGCTGAACAATAGTGGTCCCCGTTACAAACGCAGCAAGATCGAGCGGCGCATCAACACGGACATCTTCTTCTGCATCGGCCTCCTCTTCCTCATGTGCCTCATTGGGGCTGTAGGTAAGGGATGTTCTGCCAAAAGCAACACAGACACCCATGCCCATGGCAAGTCACTGTAATTCTGAGCTTTCATTTCCTTAAAGAAGAATGAAGTCTGCACTACCTACTTTAGTGGGGTACTGATGAACGTTTCCTGAAATTGTATGTGTCCTTAAATATTAGCAATATTGCCTATCATTGGTGGGCTGAAAAAAAATCCCATGGAACACAGGTGTTCTCTGAGCATGGAAGGAGAGCAAGATGAGTGAGCCGCAGGACCAGTCCTTAAAGAGCCCACAGTGGGAGTCAAACAACAGAATCAAGCGCTCACCCTTCCCTGCTCAAAGGTTGACTGCCCATGGGTACTGCATTATTTGCCTGTCCTGGCCATGGAACTAAGTAATACTAGGGGATTCAAAACAGCATAAATTCAATCTGCTTATGCATCTTCTTCTAACATCAGAAGTCCAATTTGAATGGGTTAAGATTATGAGTTCAGCAGATCTGCTTCCTTCTGATAAGACCGAGGGAGGAATCAGTCCTGTCTTTGTCAGTTTCTAGAAGTTTCCTTTGTTCACTTCACTACAGGCATCTTCCATTCTCTGCTCACATCTCTCCAGCCTTGCCTGTGGTACCTCTTTTTATAAGCACATTTGCAGTTACATCCTTGAACCCACCAGGAGAATCCAGCATACTCCCCATTTTGAATTTCATGAGTTAATCACATCTGCCCAATCTTCTTTTCCTTATAAGACAGCCTCTTCCCAGGACCCACTGATTAGGATGTATCTTGCTAGGGGCGATGTGTTAGTTTGCTTCCTGTGGGCACTGTGGAAATACCAGGAATGGGAGTCTTTCCCAGAGAGGTACCCACTTTAGCTGATTACTAAATGAGTGGACATTTGCTACAGGTGATAGGTGACAGACTCAAGTTCAGGAGTACAGCGAGGCCGAGAAATCTGGGGAGAGAAAGAATGTTCTTTGCCAAATGGGCAGCACAAGGAGGGTACAAAGGTGGGAAGGAGAACGACTATAGACAAAGAAACAGTCAGCTGTCTAGCGTATAAGAGGAAGACCAAGCTCAGAAGGCATAGAAAGGAATGAGCTAGAAGTTGGTCTTCTTCAGAGTGGAGACTAGAAAGGGTTCTCCATAAAGCTCTTACCCATTCTCCCCATCATCTTTAACCTATGGATGTCTCACAGAATGCTTAAGTAGACCCCACTGTTTCAGCCTGGAGTTGCCAGCTCCCAGGACTGCACCTAGCATTGTCTTAAGAAGACTTTCAAAGTAGCCAAGGTTATCTGTCCAAGGATCTTTATGGAAAGGGTCACACAGCCTGAAGGTAAATTTATTAATGCATCTTGAAAATTTCTCTCTCTGAAGACCAGACTTTTTCTACCTGAGGGTAATAATGAAACACACCTTAGCTGATGGTAACATAAGAAAAAAAAGAACAATTACATGCTTTCCTGATGGTAACCTTCTCTTTTACTTCATCTTGTATAATCTCTTTCTTGACAATCTCACTACAGAGTTACGCCTCTTTGCATACAGTTCCAGTCTCCACATGTTCCCCACATAGCTATATACCTTTCCACTGCTTTACACAGTCTCATCTCCCATCTCTCCTACCCCTCCCTCACACTTCTCTCTCTGCACATTCAGCTACATCTTCCTACCAATACATGCACACATACACACACACACACACACTCTCTCTCTCTCTCTCTTCTCCTACTTCCGCCTATTTTCTCTCCTAATTGCCCCTTCATCTCTCCTGCTTCTTCTCACAGACAAAACCTCTGGGCAACTGTGAATCACATCTTCAGGGTCACAGCACTACTTGACTAAACAATGAGAAACAGAGCCAAACTGAACACACAGTTTCTCTCCAGCTAGGGAGGTCACGCTGACAGGTCAGTGAGTTAAGTAAACATGTAGCTCTGAGTGGTCAGAAAGTGACATTGACATTCAGGACTTAAACAATAAACAGTTAGTTGGCTTGAGGTTTGAGAGTACATGCAGAAAGTCCATAGCTGATAAAGTTAGGTCTACTAAAGTTGCTTCACACTCTGACCTTGAATCAGCAATAAACACCTGGGAAATTGGCCTCATAGATTTGTCTCTAGAAGCAATCAAATATTCATCTCCAGGAGCAACCAATTTGCTTTGCATTTGTTCTGAAGTCTAAAGTTAGCTGTCTTTGTGATTGAGAATACTATTACTTTCTTATGTCGGTCTGAATATGAAAAATATCCCAGTATTAACTCTATTCATCAAAATTATTTACAGTTAGAGCAGAAATCATCTTCCTGACCATCCACAGCTCTATGTGTGCCCAGCAGATAGAATATTTTCACGAGATAAATACATGAGCAGTAGGAATAATACCCATAGCTGTTTTTAGTGGTACATGAGAAAAATTACAGAGAGAAACAATTATCTATAGCTAGTGACCCCATGGCCTTACCAAGTGGAACTCCCTATCAGAGAATCGCTCATCTTGTAGGTCAGTCTTTTGAACACTAGTTGTCATCTGTTGTATACCCTCATGGCCTCTGGCACCCCACAAAGAATTAGAAATGATCAAAAGGAAAAACTCATAAGCCCAGACACCCTGATGACCCCAACCCAAAGAGCAGCAATGATGTTTGCTTTCAGCCTTTTTCTGAACGTATCACCATCTATATATTTGAAAAGATGATACCTGAAAGGCAAAGGGAGAGATCTAGTCTGTCCATGTAGTGAGGACCCTGGGACTCGTCTCAAGGTGGCCAGGAGTTTATACTTAATGTACCTCACAGGTGAGTCTAGCAGCTTTGCGTAAATGGGTGAGTCATGGCTGGAAGGGCAGTCCAGGAAGATCAAGGAGATCACAGGAAAGACACAGCCACTCCAATCCTGCCCACGTGGCTGCAGGAAATATGCCTCCATGTTGAGTAGAGTTTTCAGGCATGCCAGAACTGAAAGTTTATTTAAGATCACTATGTCTCCAGACAAAAATAAAATAAGTTAATGATTACACAGCCACACATAGATAAGGTGCCCAGAATTGGCTTTACAAGTTCCTGAAAATGATAAAGGGAGAACATTAATGGAGAAAGAAGGCAAATTCTCTATTGCAAATAGCAACTTTTAAGAAACAGGACTCTTTGGCCCCTCATTAAAGCATAGACTTTGAAGAGGAGACAGTCCTCCCACGACAAGTATGATTCCAGGGTTCCTTTGGTTTGATAACCATGTGTGTCTTCTTGCTCTGCCCACCAGGCCCTCCTTCAAACACACACACTTGCCAAGACTCCAGGACCCCTGAGACCTCTGGTTTACCTTGCAGCTTCTCTGCTTTCTCATCTTTCTTTAGGGGCCCCTTCTCTGTGCATGTCTTCTGCTCTATACGATCACCATTAAATTAGAGCATTCTGTAATGCCCTTTTCTTCTGAAGTGACTGGGAAGAATTTGGTCCAGCCTGGGAGGAGGGGTCTTTGGGCGAGATGACATCTTATGGTTTTTATTCTCTTAAGTTCCTGCCTTGAAGCTGAGAGAATTGTTTTAGTGAGGATTTACTCTACCTCACAGTCCATCATTGAGGGAAATCAGGGCAGAAATCTAGAGACAGTAACTGAAATAGAAGCCATGGGAGAATGTTGCTCACTGGCATCCTCCTCATGGATCACTCACCTGCTCTCTTATACCATCCAGGACTACCTGCTCAGGGTGGCATCACCTCCGTAAGCTAGTCCCTCCTGCATCAATGAAGAAAATGTACCACAGATTTGTCCCACAGGCCAATCTGGTAGGGGAATCTTATCAGTTGAGGTTCCCTCTTCCTTGATTAAAGATGACACAAAAGTAGTCAGCACAGTAATAAACACAATGGATTATTCTAGTTTTATGATAACCCTATAGGTTAGCTATAACTAATTAACAGACAAGGACTCCACATTCAGACGAATCTGTAGCAGGTGCTAGATGTGGCTCATCTAGCATTATCCTGTGATAATGGGTGTTGTCACCCCTTTAGCAAATAAGGAAACATGGAGTTCAGTGTGCCTGTGCTGTGAGTTCTGTGGCCTCTCCCAGCATTCCATGCTCCTCCATGCTCTAGCACACAACCCGCTCAGGGCCCTTTAATCAGAGTCCTTTGCTTAGTGGGGATTACTCAAAAATGAAAACCAACACTGATCCGATTAATAATTATTGGATATAGGAGGGAATTGTGGGAAAAGATAGGTAATTAGGTAGATGAATAGATGAAGAGAAGAGTAGAAAGTAAAAAAACGGGAAGACTGGTGTGTCAAGACTGCCCAGCCACATACTTGTTACAATAAAACTGAAAAGTATACATTCTACTATCTTTCCAACTCATATGTGATAAGACTCCACCAAAATATAGGTAATCTTCATATTAATCACTCCCAGTAAAACAGACTTACTGTCCATCATTCTATCAAGGGATTCATGGGATTGAACCATGAAGAGCTTGAGTACACGAAGAATCACTGCCACACTAAAGTAAAAGACGGAGCAGGAGAGAGCAGTGTCATGGGGAATAAGAATGAGATTTTCAAAACCCACCCATGTCCAGGAACAGGTCATGGGTACCTAGACAACTTAAGACTAAGTAAAGACTTAGTCTCACACCTAGTTTTGTTTCTTCTCAGGGCATGGTCTCTGGACTAGGACCTTTGAAGAGCATCCTCCCTTTGATGTGCCAGACGCTGATGGGAACTTCCTCCCCCTTGCCCTTGGAGGCTTCTATATGTTTCTCACAATGATCATCCTGCTCCAGGTAAGCACTCTCTGACCTCTAAAGCTTTAGAAAACGAAGAAAACTAAGTGCTAGCCCCAGAAAGAAGTAATAAGGACAAGATGGAAAGATAATTATTGATTCCTGGTATGCTTACCAAGTATTCACATTGGTAATGCCAGGTCAGCCCCTTAGATAGCAGTAGGAGAAGGTTAAGAGTGAGATTGCAAGTCACCCATGTATGTCCCTTTGCCAGACACAGAATAGTAAAAACCCTAAAATTCAAGACTAAAGGGAGAGTAAACAGCACAGAGAGATACCAAGGACTCTCCAGCCCTCAGTGCTGGAGACAGAGCAAATTCACAAGTTAGTGTTCTAGCATTTGACAGACTGCGATAGATAGAGATGGAGAAGAACAAAGTAGATGAGAAAAAACATAGTCAGAACCTATAAACTATGTAGTAAGAGAGGAAGGGATGCTTTTCTTTAAATAGTTGGGCTCTATAAAGAAACACGGCTGATGAAAAGTGAGAAGTTGCCGTTTTGTTTGCTGAAGTCCCGCCTACAGCCACTGTCTTTTAGACCTCTGTTCCTGACTGCTGAACTGTTTTCAACTTCCCATTCATTGGCACAGTTTGATCCTTCCTAAAGGGAAATCAAAACACACCTCTTCTCTGCATGGACCCTGCTGGTAACTCGTGTCTGCTCAGAATAAAATCCAAAGTCCTTATGGAAGCCAGCGAGGCTTTAAATGATCTGGACCTTGACCCCACCTCACCTCCTACAGCTCTTCCTCCTCCATGCTTCCTGTGCCGTGCCTGCTGTCATCTCCCGAACACCCAAACCCCTCCCACTACCCAGAATTCCCCTCCCAATGTGATCCTCACACCCTCATCTCTTCAATCTCTGCCCAAAGGTCATGGAAATGAAAATCCACCCAGTCTATGACTCGCTGTCCTCTCTGATGTCCTTTACTCATTTCATGAGGCAGCCACATCATATATATTGACATGTCTATATATTGTCACTAGAATATGAGTTCTTTAAGGCCAGTTTTGTTCTAATAGCACCCATTTCCAAGAATTGAAACAATGTCCAACAAAAAGCAAGAGCTGGAGAATATCTGGCACTGGACTAGGGAACACAATCAGCAGAAGGCCCGAGCACCTGCAAAGGTGCCTGTGACCCTCCATGTCACAGAGATCTGAGGGTTCGGGGGTCTCTAGAGAGTGGTGCTGAAACTCATATACTCCACCATTCTGCTGGTAAATAGTGAGTGATGCCTGCCTTCCTCCCACCCCAGACACTACAGAATGAAGAGGCATATCTCCACTTCATATCCCCCCAAGAATTCCAAGGGAGGCCTGATGTCACTAACTTTTAATTTCTCAGGAAAACTCATGCTGTGTGCTCTCCTCAGCTTTCTATCCAATGCTTCTGCTGTCCACTCGTGAGGGTCTGGGAGCTGGGCTTAAGCTGGGTGCTGAAGCAGTGTTAATCCATCTCCCCTCAGGTGTTGATCCCCATCTCTTTGTACGTATCCATTGAGCTGGTGAAGCTTGGGCAAGTGTACCTCCTTCATAACGACCTTGACCTATATGATGAAGAAACCGATTTGTCCATTCAATGTCGGGCCCTCAACATTACCGAGGACCTGGGCCAGATCCAGTACATCTTCTCTGACAAAACAGGGACCCTGACGGAAAACAAGATGGTGTTCCGGCGTTGTACCATTGTGGGCCGTGAATATTGTCACCAAGAAAATGGTATGAGAGCCCACAAGCACCCTGCCCTCTCAGGATGACAAGGACACTCTCCTGATTCCCCACAGCTTTTCTGTAGCACTTTGACAGGTTGTACCACCCCTCCATACAGCACAGTATGTTCACATCAAGGATGGGCTAAGAGGGAAAGTATCCCTATTGTATATCAGTCATGAAGCCAAGGCTTAGGGTTTGACCTGCAACCCTTGTCCTGGGTCAGGACAGGTCTAAATCTAGGCCCAGGGCTGAATTTGACACATTCAGAAAATGCTTTCCATGTGAACCAATGTCTTAGGTTTCACCAAGTCAGTGTTTTGGTTTAAAATGTGAAGGTATACGATGGTTGGACTGTTACTTTTCATGGTCTAAAGGTAGCCTGTAGAATTGAGTTAGTACACACACACACACACACACACACACACACACACACACAAGGTAGAGAGGAGGAAGAGATATTATAGATAGTCCTATCCCCTTTGTCATGGCAATCACTCACCATTTACATGGGAGCTTTGAACTTATTTTTAATAATATAACAGCTATTACTATAAGCACCTAGCTTAACTCATCATTCTTCCATATTATGTTGCTAAAAATCTTCAAAATGATCCTGAGATGGTTACTTCCTTAACACTTCTAATTAAGGAACTGAAGGTACAGGTTGTAAATCAAAACACAAGCCCATATAACTTTCTCCAGGCTTAGCAGCCCAGTTACAGCCTTCCATAGAAGTCCAGCACTGCCCCTAACTACAGCTCAGCCAAGATGTGACAAGATTCCTTTTTTGCAGCCAAGCGACTGGAGATGCCAAAGGAGTTGGACTCAGATGGTGAGGAGTGGACCCAATACCAATGTCTGTCCTTCCCACCTAGATGGGCCCAGGGCCCAGCAACATTGAGAAGCCAAGGAGGTACCCAGCCTCTGAGGAGGTCCCAGAGTGCCCGCGTCCCCATCCAGAGCCACTCTCGACAAAGGTCTGTGGGACGCTGGGAGCCCTCACAGCCACCGGTGGCCTTCAGCAGCTCAATAGTAAGTCCCTACCTTTGTTCATTAAATTATAAGCAAATTATACAAAGAAGATACCAGAGAAGGTTCTAGAATATATCAGAGCCTCTATAAGCCCTTATTAGCTGGAGATTTGGGGTGCTGCTTGATTGAAAGAGTGCTTTTCTAGCATGTGTAAGACCTATATTCCATCACAGCACCTCACAAACCAAATAGGATACTGCATACCTGTAATCCCAGCACTTTCGACATAGTGAGTCTGAGGTCACCTTGGGCTACATGAGACCTAGCAATTATATTTTTAAAGACATTTAAAGCCTGGAGAGCTCTCAGGATGGCCCATTTCAGTCCCACGTGGAACCCGTAAATGTTTTGACAGCGTACACAATTCTTGTTAGTTCTAAATGTGCAGCGATTCCTCTTCTGAAAATGGAATTAGCCATATTCCCTGTTTTAATCCAGGGTTTCCCCATAGCAGTTATTGGCTTGAGTTAAGGAATTTTTACAGCATAAGCTGGGTCAGTCCTCAGCTCCCCAAAGCCCCTCCCTTCCTCATTGTTCATGATCACAGCTGAGGGCCAGCAGCCTCCTCCTTATGCATACTTTTCCAATTACACAGCTAAAAAAAAAACAAGAAATATTTGTTATGTCTGTACTTCCATAAGCTAAAAAGACAAAAGATACGCCTTTAAGGCTTGATGCATTTGAAGAAAGGTGAAAGAAAATATTTGAGTAGTAATTAAAAAGGGATTTGAAAGAGTTGGGAGGTGAAGAATAACTATCCAAATTGCCGGGCTGCATCCTCCCCTTAGGTGAGTCCCATGGTTCCAATGTGAGAGTTTGTCTTTGGTCGGTCTTTTGTCTTTCCATATTTGATTCCTTCAAAGCCATTGCTAAATATCCAGGTAGCAAATGAAGATTCTGATTTCATCCCTCCACATTACACAGCACTTCCTTGAGGTCAAGGCCATAGCCAGAGCCTTCTGACTCCTGCTCTATTCCTTCCTCTACACATACTCAGAAACACATCATCCCAAATTGTAGAAAATGCCACAGAGTGGGGCTGCAGAGATGGCTAAGAAGTTAAGAGCGCTTGCTGCTCATACAGAGGACCAGAGCTCTGTCCCCAGCACACAACAAGCCACCTGTGCCTCCAGATGCAGGGGATCTGACATCTCTTCTAACCTCTGTGGGCATCTGCACCCACATGCATGTAGTAATAGGAGCGGCGGGGCTGCGTCCCCAGCACCCCGGCCGCCTGGCTAGCTTATGCCCCGAAATAACAACACACAAATTGGATTCTTTTAAACACTGCTTGGCCCATTATATCCAGCCTCTTCTCGGCTAACTCTCGCACCTGGACTAGCCCATTTCTAATAATCTGTGTAGCATCAGTCTTACCGGGAAAGATTCTAGCCTACATCCATCCTGGGTAGGAGCTTCATCGCATGTGCCTCAGAGAGCAGAGCTATCGCACGTCTGCCCGGGAGAGGGGAGCATGGTGTCTCTCTGAGCTCACTTCCTCTTCCTCCCAGCATTCTGTTCTGTTTACTCCACCCACCTATGTTCTAACCAATAAAATGGGCCAAGGCAGTTTCGTTATTTTTTAGCCAATAACCTTCCTCCATCACATGCACACAAAAATAAGAATAAAATAAATCTTTGATCAAATTAAAAAAAAATAAAATGTCATAGGGAACCACAGCCATCTCAGTGCAGAGGTAATAAATGGGCCTGAAAGTGCTATTATGCTATTAGAAAAGGAAAATTTCAAGTCAGTTTTCATTAAAATTTTAATTTCTGCCAATACACACTGTGTGTGTGTGTGTGTGTGTGTGTGTGTGTGTGTGTGTGTGTGTGTGTGTAATACTTTTCAGTCATGGTATATATCAATTGTATATGGCTGGGTTTTCCTTTTTTTTTTTATTGCGAAAAGAAGAAAAAAAACATAAACAAAAAACAAGTTTCCACCTCCTCCCAGCCTCCCATTTCCCTTCCCCTCCTCCCACCCTTCTCCCCCTCCTCCCACCCTTCTCCCCCTCCCCCCACTCCTTCCCCCCCTCCCTCTCCAGTCCACAGAGCAGTCCGGGTTCCCTGCCCTGTGGTAAGTCTTAGGTCCTCCCCCCTCCGTCCATATCTAGGAAGGTGAACATCCAAACTGGCAAGGCTCCCACAAAGCCAGCACATTAAGTAGGATCAAAACCCCCTGCCATTGTCCTTGGTGTCTCATCAGCCCTCATTGTTCGCCATGTTCAGAGAGTCCGGTTTTATCCCATGCTTTTTCAGTCACAGTCCAGCTGGCCTTGGTGAGCTCCCCGTAGATCAGCTCCACTGTCTCAGTGGGTGGATGCACGCCTCGTGGTCCCGAATTCTTTGCTCATGTTTTCCCTCCTTCTGCTCCTCCTTGGGACCTTGGGAGCTCAGTCCAACAAACTATCGAGACCATTCTCTGTGCTGCTGTCCGGGTCTCCTAATGAGCTGTGTTCTCCAACCGTGACAAAGCAGGGATGCTGTGAGCCTGGGTTCTGGGTCGCTATATCTCTAACTTGGGGGTGAATGCAGAGCTGTTTCTGCTCTGGCATTATCTTAGTTCACAACATGGGACGGGAGCTAGGATATGTCAAGAAAGCTTATTAAGGACTAGTGCTCCTCACAGACATGCAGAAGAAGGGACCCACAGATGCCTCTGTAAGAGTTTATTATTTCCTTTCCGTCTTATGCAAGAACAGAACAGTAGGAAGCACACATGATCATATCTTTCCCTTCTTTAATTCTCACACTGAATGGAATGTTCTTCTCCTAAATATTTATATGAATATTTTTTTAGTCTCATCGGACCCATTCTATATGTCTTTTGGCATTTCACAGTTCTAGTGTGATAGGCATTGTGTGTGCCTAATAATAGGTGTCTTCACTGCCAAGGACACAAGGAAGGAAACTGGAAACTTTTGGGCAGCATTGAGGTAGACACCATGATGATTCCCTGCCCCTTGCTTAGCCTCACAAATCACAGGATCGCAGAACCAGGCAGCAGAGATTCCTTTTTTATACATTTTCATCTTAACTTATTTTGCCCAAGATGGTCTCAAATTTCTGGGCTCAAAAACCCCTTCAAGCGAGTATAAATTTGCTGGAGGGCCCTCAGCTGATAGCAGCAAGCTGGACATACTAACCCCAAATTGTCTCCAAAACCTAGGCTATGGTCAGTGCTCTGCTCTGGCTGGCAGTTCCAAAAGAAGTTCTAAGTTCGTCCCTGAGCAATAGGGAAAGTGGTTAAGGAATTAAGTAAGACTCACTGTTTATAGCATGGCTAGTATTGGCAGTGATATGTTCTCTCTATGAATAGCTAAGAGAGGCACAGAGTAGTCAAGGACCTGGGATTGGTAAAACACCGTCTTTGGGTAATTATTCAGGAGGGGGCTGGACTATAAGTCTGACAAGGTAGGTTTGCAACTATGCAGTTTGGCTTGCTAATATGCATCATGTGGTTACTCCTTTTATCCTTTTTAATCTCCTAAAAATACATAAAATTATTACCAGACTGTTCCCAAAATCAAATAACACAATGTTTGTGCTGACCTCAAGATCCCTTCCAGCTATAAATCATACACACCCAGGCCCAGGTCTCCATCTCAACTCCACTCCAGAGGAGTTTATTTTACACTTAACAAGTAGAATGGACTGGAATCATAGCTATCCCTTTCATTAAAATAAGGACAATTCTGGTTCATTACAAATTCTAAGAGACAGACTAGTATATATTTTAAGTGACCTTTCTAAAGAAAAGCTGTTTTCTTATTTTACATCATGTGTAAAAATGTGTTTTATAAAATATTGAACTTTCTCCCCTGAGACTCTACTACATGTTGTCTAGGGATGTGAACTTAATAATTTCTAGAGATTCTAGATGCAGGCCAGACTGAGATTCTCTCTAGACAGACCACTGACATACCTGGCTTCCCCACTAAAACAGTACCCATGTGGCTCAGATACGCACTTGCCTGAAGGGAGAGATTTGTGCTACTCAAAAGTTGCTTACTAGAGCTGAAGAGATGGCTCCATGGTTAAGAACACTTACTGCCCTTGTAGAGGACCCAGGTTCAGTTCCCAGCATCCGTATGATGACTCCCAGCTGCCTGTAACTCCTGCTCCTAGAAACCTAATGCCCTTTGACCACCGCGGGCACAACTCGCATGGTACGCATACGTACATGCAGGCAAAACACTTATGCACTTAAGATTAAATAAATATTTCTTAAGATGCTCACTGGCCTCTGATCCTGTGCTGGCTATCGTCAGGTTCTAAAAGATCACCCTAGAGGCCAAGTAGTTCTCTAGAGGTCTACCTTTTCCACCTATCTTGGTGCCTTCTTCCACCTCCATCCAGCATCTAGTCTGGCATAAGCATCTCTAGGAACCCCCCCCCCCTTCTCTACCTTCCCTTTGAAACTGAGTCAGGGCTTGCCTCAGAAACTCCCAAGATACCAGAACTTAGCAGCAGTCTACCAGCCCTTCAAGGGCCAGCTATTCGTTTCCCTGGCCCTTGGGTGCAAACCAAATAAAGTAAGAATCAATAGTAGCAGCAACAATCAAACCTGGGTTTGTTTGTTTTCTTTAGTTACCAAACACAAAGCAGTATCAGTGATTATCTCCTAATCGCCTGCTATAAAACTGTGGTTTTAAGGTGGGTAATATACTTATGAAATTGGCACATCCCCAGCCAATATTTAATAGTATTGACAGATGGAAAATAAAATGTCTTTCGCCCTGCTCTGAAAGTACCAAGATTTAACCAGAGTCCAAGAGCCACCTGCACGTTTTCCAAAAATCATCAAACCAAGGAACATCTTCCCAGTCATGGGGTGGAGCTGCCCTGGGCCTCTCTAGGCACCTCCAACACTCACTTCTGTGGGCATGTCCCCTTTTCTGACACCTCCAGAGAGAATGCAGTAGACACAACTGAAGGAGGTGCCTAGGGCAGCTTCTTTCTTAATGATTCTTCTACAAAACACTCTGACTCTTTCA